GGCCGGCGAATCAGCAGATATAACAAAAACAAAGTCCTATGACAATACCATAGCAGACCTCCAGGAATCAGTCGAATAAAACATATTGCCCATGTTGACACGCATTGCCCACTTATGGACCAACACGAACAAAAGCTTATTCGCATATGTCGCCAGTGCGCCATGGCGTCAAAGTTGCCTGTTGAATGTGAATACACTCCTCGCAGCTCCACAAAACCCATGGCCTCGTTTCTGCCATGCCCATTGACGGAATCAGCCATTTTGCGATTGTCGACACCCGTCTAAAATAGCCAAAAACATGCCCTTAAACATAGCGTCGACCATGACAACCACTTCGTACCTGAATCGGTCACATTCGCAACCTCCCAGTATCAATGACCCGAGGTTCACCTCGTCTAAATTTCCTAAGTTACACAAGTATTTTGTAATCAAGCACACCAATGCCCAGCATATTACCCCCAGTAAAAAGGACAGGCAGAACAGTTTACGGATACCCTCAAGCGAGCACTGTGGAAACTTGAGGGAGAAAATATGGCTAAAGACGTTTTAGATACATTTTTGCACACTTGTAGCAATAGCTCCGAAGTAGTATTCACTAGGTGAGACGTTTCTTCGTCACAGAGGAAAAACAACACTGGAGGCCATGCGACCCAGTTCTGTCACCGGAGAAAACAACAATATCAAAGAGCAAAGCCATAGGCATTTGTGCTTGTACTCCAAGGTCACAAACGAGTCTAAACCCCAGCTGTTATAACTCATCTCTTGGAAAGGCAACATGTGAATTTTTATTTAAAAAATGTGGCGTAGATCACAATAAACAAGGCTGGGCGAAAAGGGTTCCACGGGAAAAATGGCCCTCTGACATGTGAAGCAAACGGCTCAACCAGTGAAGTGTGACAACTCGATCTCTCAGGAGAGAATGAACTTTGCCAAAAGCCACTCAGCGTACCCCAGAATTACTGATTTGATGTTCCCACCAGACCTACTCAACGCTTTGGAGACACTAATGATCAAACGCATAGATTTACCGGAGATCTTCCGCACGTAGCAGTCACTTCTTTGATCAATAAAGTAGGACAGAGGGGACTGCGACAATGCACATTTTACCATTGACAGTCACGTCGATGTCACGTTCGTGCACCAAATGTCGCCGTTTGGCAAGCGCTATCTTGAACTTCGCACTAGGGAAGAAGTTCGTCTTTCACCAGTCCGCCGGGACTCATACCGCTGTCCAGATAAGTGAACCTATCTACCACATCCATCGATTCACCTGAAAGCATGAGGCTTAGGTTTGAACCCACCCAATCTTGCAGTAACCCTTTGCATTTTACAGGGGCCAAGTTCATACCGAACTGTGCAGCAAACTACTTAGAGTAGTTCGGATTTCTAAAGGGTTCTATCCAGAAAACGTAAGATCCACATAGGGCAGGGCACATCAAATGTTGACTACACAACCTGCACACATAATACAATAAAAACAATCATTCAGTGGTAGTACCCTTTCGGTGCCATGCTACCTAAGAAAGCAGGAGGGCTGAGATACTGCCAGGTTGCCTAAGCTCAGACAGCAGTCGGAATGCTGAGGTTGGGTTCAAAACACGGACATTCAGGTCAGTATATTCGCGCTTTAATCACTGAGCTATATGGGCTCTGCATATAGAAAGATAAAACGATCATTTATATGAAAGACTACTCACAATGAGCCACATGGTTTTCATTTACATATGAGGAGGCTAAGGTGGAACTCAAGCAAAAAATGTAGGGATCATATATAGCTAAGTTTTACGCTTTCACCTCGTGTTCGCATGTCTAGCAGAGCACAGTTGAATTGAGAACATTGTTCGCTTCGGAAGCCTCCATCTGCGGACGTACTCCAGCCGTCTTACCATTGTAGGTTACATTCGATCGTGGATTTCTTACGCAGTGCATGGAGATTTCGTCCCGCGAGTGAAGCTAATTTATCTTGAAAAACTGAGAAGCACCGTGAAGCCGTTTCATCCTTACGGGATACCATGAGTAGTGCTAGTGCGAATCCGCAACGCCTCGGTTGGTGGGTGAACACTCAACGCTTCGGCCACGAGTGCCTGATCAGCATCTCCCTGAAATTTCGTGAGATGCGCACGGCTGATGATTCACAATATAAAAAAATCGTTCGGCTGTAACACCGTTCCGGTGCCTAGCTGCCACGCCACCCGAAAGAGGCACGAGGGCTGGGATACTGCCAGGTTGCCCAAGCCTAAACAGGAGAAGCCGAGAGACAGAGGTCGGGTTCGAACCACGCACCTTCCAGTTAGTAAAGTCGCGCTCTTACCACGTAAGCTACCTTGCCCCTTGGTTTTCAATAAGGAAAAAACAGCTGTACAGTACTTCTGGGCTTTTCAACATACTATGGCACATTAGTGGACGAAATCTCCATTGAAAAATTGAGTCTCCTTGTAGGTTATGGCGGTTTAGGCGGAGATTACTTTAAATAAACAATTCAATAGTTCGAGGCATGACTGAAAATATTGTTCATTAGCCACACCAAGTACGAAGAGCAAACAGTCCAATTCTGCACCCGCGTCTGGAATATGTAAAATTCTACCGAGGTAAAGGAGCTGCACGGTAATTGTGAGTGGTTTTCTAGGGATTGCGTTGGTTTCGCTTCAAACTAAAGAGAAGTAGGTGGACAGAGTAGTTTGCTGAAAAACAAGCTACCAAATGCGCTTCCGTAAACACCTCATTCACCGAACATTAGTAAGAAGGCGATACCAACATACGTCAAACAATCGCACAGATGTAAACGTTTGGTTCATTTGTGGTCGAGTTGTTCACTAAGCTTAGCCATTGTGCTCAAAACGTCTCGCCTCAAATCGAGTTGATATCATCAGCGCATAGTTGTGAAGCAGAGAAGAGCTATGTGCTGAGTAGTGGAGCGCGTGGGTATATATACATGCTTCTACTACGATTGGTTCTTTCGATGAGTAATCCTAGTGACTGGATTTTTCAGTAATGTTCTGCTTGACATCTGACTCACACCTCTGAACTGTGCCGGGCTAGTTAGGCAGTTCACCCTGTTCGCTAATGAGTTCGCCTGATGCTCAGCCGTGTTTGGATTATTCGATCTAGTTCGTGATATCCTGTTTGCAAAAGCGCATAGACTGGGTCCAGTTCAACGTGTAAGTAGATAGAGTTCGTTGTGGATTACCACAAATACCTTTGCATGTGCGGTACTCCAATGTGCCACATCTTCATGGACGAAATTCAGAGAAAGTGGATCACTCCTTCACACAGGCGTGTTGTGCTCATTGAGCCGTGTAGCTAGGCTGTTCCGTCTGTCCAGTGTAATACTTGTTGCATTCACTGCAATTTTTCCGGCAGATAACACTGTTTTGGTCGCTTTGATTGTTTTTACCCCTGTTTTTTTTAATCAATCTCCTCTAAGTGTCACTCGGTTTATGAACCACGGAAACTCCATTCGGTTGAAATATATTGTATCAGTCCATATACGCTTTTCGTGTATGAGAGCAAAGTTCGTATAGCTGTATGTTCTGGCCATTGTTGTTGCTACGGGGGTGTTCTTTCCTTTCAGTTTCTTTCGATAGTTTATTGGGTATCCGTTGTTTTGTAGTACGCGATGCACATAGTCTTCGACCTTCTCAGTTCTGTTGTGCTGTAGTATATTCCCGTTGTTTTGGACAAGAACTCTTGTAATTGTTTCAGCAGAACTTAGTAAACAATCGCTAGTTTTTATTTGGGTAACGTTTCGCTCTTGACACAAAAGCTACATCAGGCCAAGTGAACAGGTCACCAAACTGGCCAGTTTATAAGACAGTCGAGGAACCAATCAGTGAGTTCTCTTCAGATTATCACACTAGATCAGTGTTGAATGTCAATTAACGGCTCTTGTCGGCTAGCGTGGTTGCCAAAATCTTGAATTGATGGGTTGGAGGAGCTTCAAATTAGTTCCGATCGCTTTTTGTTCCTTACTCTTCCACTTCGTGGTGCTTCACTGGATGATTCATCTCGGGTGCCACTAGTCGATTTTCCTTGGTCTTCGTGGCCATTTAAATGTTGCGACTATTTAGTTGTAATTCATCGAATCAAGCAGACAAAACTTTGACATAAGAAAAAGTCAGCCAATGAGTTTGCTGACAAGTGACCCATTTCAAGTAATTTCAGAATGAAGTTTGCTTGAAGTATGAAGAAACGGATACCATGCCTGATTCTGACCTATGTTACTATCACCCATTTGCTTATCAAAATTAGCTGACGTTTCCCGTGACCATGAATATTTTGTGACTGTGATATGAACAGTATCCTGATACAGGAAATGCTGAACTACATCCAAGACTACACTCGCCTTCAGTTCGAGATAACTGTGAAGTTATGTACAAGGCGAGTGACAAAACGAAACACAGAAATATGATACACTGGCACAAACCGGTCGGAGATGTAGCATGGAAAAAATAGATGTGGCATCAGTGTCGAAGTAAAACAGTGAGGCTAATACCAACGGAGGCACATTAGCCATTGGTTTTAATTCAGTCGTCATGGAAACCATTTTCACTTCCCCTGAAAACCAGCAAATGGAACATATTGGCATGACACTTGTTTCTGAGTAGACGGAGATCAAGAACTAGCGAAGATCTGACTCACATTTAGCTTCGCCGCAATCGCAGCATCCCTCTCAGCCCGGGCAGCTGCTAACTGATCCAGCTGACTTTTTAAGTTGGCTTCCTGCTCCTTCAGTCTTGAAAGGATGGAGACAGAGTCAACATTGGGATCGGTAAAGCTGGAAACTTGATCAATCTGGTTTTGTACACAGCCCGCAGCAGATGACAGCACAGAGGACTGCGCCCCCAAGCAGTTGCATGAGAGGAGAGAGGACAAGAGTACTACGGTAATGCAACTCAAACGTGAAGCATTCAAGAAACGGAAAAGTGGCTAAACAGATAACGTGAGAACCGAACACTTGGATAAATGTCAAATGGACTCTGAAATGACCACAACCAGTAGATAATGAAAGCACAACACTTGGTTTCCGTAGAAAATGCAGTAAGAAACTGAACAAACCAAGATAACTCTGATAATTCGGAGTATGTTCTGGAGCAATCAGCTTATGCCAATGTGCAAAATGTTTCTTCGTTCAACACATAAAGACGGAAAGCGGGCACTGCACACATTTTACGTTGGTCCATCAGGGCAGAATTAACAAAACAACGTATCCACAAACGAAGGAGTTAATCAAACAGCTGTTGACCGGTCAGTTTGGAAGATATATGGTACCCACATTCGTTCTAAGTGGCGGTTTATATCACGGGTCTTTTGAAAGCACAAGGCCTATCCACTCGTCAGCAGAACCGCAGTTACAGTATCCGACTTCTCCTCCAAGAAAAATAAATTTGAACTAAAACCACTTGAAAATACACCTAGAAGCAGCCCAAGTAATGGGATGATGATGAGAGACAGCAGGTCATCCGCCACATGCGTATTGATGACAGTATCAACGTAGTATGGCTCCTAGTGATTTCAGTAGTCGATTCTCTCCCTTGGACACGTTTGCGCCATACAGTACATCCTGAATTCCATGGAGGATATCAATACTTGCAGAATGGTGGGGTAAATCTGAAGAATCTTGACCACATTTAGGTTAAACAGTGTCTCCAAAACTGTCCAACACAATGCCTGGAGGAGTATAATCTTGCCCGAAAAATGGGTGCTGTTATCGCTTTCAACTAAAAGCAGTCAAAGAGCTCTAACTAGAGTTGATCCATCGATTAGTGGGCTCTAGGACGAACTCTCACCAAACGCTTGCATGGCGAGTTGAGAAATTGAGCACTTGACCACTGTAAGTATACCCAAAGATTTATTAGTCTCAATGGCTTGGGTCAATACGATAACCTACAAAGCCAAAGCCACTTTTTACTACCCATGGCACCTGTCGGATGCAGTCAACAAAGCTTTCGGTTTCAAGGGTCGAAAATATTAGTTCAGAGTGCTGGTTATGTTGTTGTTGCGCGACACGATTTTTGTACGCAGAGGATCCAAAAGGCCTGTTGAGTATTACCGGACAGACTACCAAAGACGCTTTATCTAGCGGGCCAAATACTTCCCCACTGTGAAAAAGCAAAGCAAAGCTCCAGCACTGGAATACAAAGTAGTGCAGTTGGTGACGATAAGGCAGCTCAACAGGGGCCATATTTTATGATGGGGAATGCCAGTGAATGCCAGGTATTGTATATTTTTGCCCAGTACCTACGTCAATTTGGCAGCGACTGAGGTACCTTTCAGAGAGGATTAAGTTCGACCATGGAATACGGCCAGCAAGCTTTCAACGACTTAGTTAATTGGGCTGAATTATCACAAATCCCATATCATGGGCATTCTGTTCATTCCCCGTATGCGTTCATCATTATCAGACTGAAGTGTAGGTAACTAATGTCGTACCGAGCACATCCCAACTAGGCATCAGAACACACCTCACATAAAAAATGTTTATGGTGACCTCAGAGTAGATTGATGATCACGTGAACCATAAAACCGATGTAAATGTGAGCAGTCCAATAAAGCATTGTACAGTGATTTCTCACGTAATCCAACGAATTTTTGAAAGAAAACAGAACCAAAAATAAGAGAGGAAAATATTGTGCCTTCTGTGTGGAGCGGCATGTTGTTTGGTGGATACGGATGGATAGCCATTTTTTCATCTTCACTGAAATGTACAGCTTGGTAATTCCGGTAAAAACATGCCCTGAACGAGTGACTAACAACAATACTGGAAGCTTTACCTACCTGCTCATGTGCCTGAAGCGGAAGTAATCATGAGGGACCGTACAAAACTTAAGCTACTCGTTTCTTTCCAGTAGTGCACAATAAAATGAGTTTAGCCGAAACCAATCGCAAGGCGAGAAACTGAAAAACAGATGAGCTCCTCCGTAGAGAAAACGACATGAATGCATCACAGAACCTCTGCCACAATAAGCAGTAAGCGGGGGAAACGGCTCCTGAAACAGTACAAAGTATATGCATGTACTGATGGACTGGGCATAGAAAGGATTTGACGTTGAGTAAGAAGAATTCCTCCCTTTATCTAATTTCACGAGGAACGTGGAGGCCTCAGACGCAGCCTACTTTAGGACGCGATTCGTTCAGTAGGGAATGCCGGTACTTCATAACGAGACGCCTGACCACAGATCCGCCAAATATGCGAATTGAATTTGTGTCAGTGTAAGGTGATCTAAACAAACATCGACTTCCTGATGAGAGGAACTCCACAGTTCCTCCGCAGTTACTCACACGCGACTTTTAAACACTACTCCGGGATTTCCGTTATCATGCATGGCAAGCACGCCAACCACAAACGATAACTGGACTTGGAGTTTTCCTTGCTAGCGCCTCAATGGATTTCCAGAGGGCAATTTCAGGCACTGCAGGCCTTTCATGCAAACCAACTGATCTACTAAATTCGGTGAACAAAAATTAGGATATCAGAGAAAAACGTAATAATATCACCTTATGGCCGAACCTGATAGTCCACAAGCTGGCTTTCAACAAGTCTTAGTTTCTCTTCGAGGTTGTGAAGGGCAAGCTGGTGTTCAACAGTAGCTTCTGAAGTTTTGCTCTTCTCGTGTTCTAATGCGGCAGTCTACAAAGTGGTAATAAATGATGAAAACTGCATCAGCTAAGCACATAAATACAAACCCGCGCCGAAAAATATGGAAAAGAGCTACATATCGCAAAACTGAAAGGGTGGAAGGGGCCATAATACACTTTGGTTGGGCCGGTGGTGAGCCAATAAACTAGCGTTGCACATAGACTGTGTACCCAAGTACAGTGGTTCCAGCTGCTACGGTTTTACTCACCGAGAATAATCAGAATAAGGGAAAAACAGTCATGCGTCAAAAACGAAGGACCAACCAATTCACTAATGTCAACTTGTTCTGTTTGTCCAATATGGCAGGGAGTGGGAAGCTATAAACTGAATGCATTAGTTATGATGCGGGACATCCATTGGTTGCATGACAGGGCCATTGCAGTCAGTCATTCACTACTAGTTCGTACCGTCCTGCGTTCCCTACCGGAGGAAATAGATGTTACCGCCCGGTTGAGTGGTAGCAGCGTTCACGCTTCGTTCTTCCCAGGGACTAATCGTCTGTAGGCAGTCTGCAGCCGAAGAACCACACTCTTACAGGCTTCTTGAACGCGAAACTAGTGGATATCCATCGGATTGGGGGAGTCGAGCAAGTAGTTTTACATGTTATAATAGCCCGAGTTGAGAATATAAGCAAAACTGGTGGTCGTTGGCTTGTTCGCTGAGCTGGGCAATTTGATTGCAAACGTTTCATCACCAATCGAGGTGACATCATCAGTGCGTTATTGTGGAGCGTAGTAGTGCGTAGCTACCATTTTCCTCTATAGAATAAGCAAAACTGTTAGGTCACAAGGATGATCCAGCGTTAAATGTACAGAACGTAAACGTTACCGGCCTTTTCATGCAAATTCTAGAACTTGATACGATTTTCGCCGGCACGGCACGGTGGGGTAAATAAACTCATTCTAAACCTGGACTTTCGACACAAAACAGTAGACCATCTACATCAAGAATCTCCCGATTGTCGGAACTTCATCCCTGTAGCAGAAAGTACACTCCATGGTCCAGCCGGAAACGTTCTCGAAAAAAGTATTTACCTTCGAAGGCCACCATACAAGCAAGTGTTTGGCAACTTCGGCAAAGATCTAACAGACAGCATATGTAGAAAATGTCCAACATTGGTTGAACTCTCAGCTTACTTGGTGGGTACCATCCCCTAAGAGCTCATGGTGGAAATTTCAGCTAATGATAGTTTTCAAAATAAGAAGTATTTGGAAAGCTGTCCATCTGAAGAAACTTGCTGGCCGATTTAAAGAAATGGAATGAGAAAATCTCTTCAGGCTTCATCTTAAATCTCCAGGTACAGTTGTATCTAAGGTCTGCACAATCGTCCTGTCACATGTACAATCTATCCTCAGTGGAACCAATAAGCATTACGGAAACGAAAATCATGACGATAAAACTGACGTTGGTAGATGGGCGCGAGAGTCATTAACGCCACCTGATAGCAATACATCAACAACAGATACGGCAGCTTAACTGCTATTGATCGAGGATGTCGCATACCTGAGATGGCAGATACATTGTGCTGACTGCGATGTGAGTTACAATAATCTCATTTGTGACAGTCTATCGGTCACCTTGTGCTGTTGAGTTAACAGGTGTTAGCGTGTATGATCATAGACACCCTTAAAAAACTGACGCCGAGTTGACAATACGCCTTCTGGTGGTGTCTGTGGATCTGGCCGGAGTACAGTGTATAGTAAATCATTTGAGGAGAAAAATGTGTCCCGTGTGGATTTCTTCTGCTCGAAGTTCCTTGGTAAGAGAGGATTACTGTAGTCATGAGAGGATGGATTTATTCGGGCGATGACCCAACAGCAGTCGCACTGTGAGTAGGGCCTTCCCTTATTTTTGACATAAAGACAGAAAGTTTTGTGGTATTGTGCTCAGTCGGCTACAAAGGCCTTGTTGGACACTCTGTTGAAAGACGGGGTTCGGATCACAATTGTATGATTAGAGATTTCGACCGGAAAACGCCGAAATGAATAGCTCACCAGGTCGGCGATGTGGTTTTGGTATGAGATTATTTTCTCACTGGACTTCTGTTCCTCATCTCGTAGCTTCTTCTTTAAGTCTTCGATATCTTTCTGCAGTGAGGCGGTGGTGGATTCTAAATGAGATCTGGCTACCTCACAGTCTGCTTGTGATTTCGTCAGTTCCCTGTGTGAAGGAAAGACAATTACAGTTTGTTGAAGGGAGAAACAAACTAAAACCGCTCACTAACTATGGAGCATGTAATACACAGTCCTGCTGACCCATAATAAATGGAAATATGATGAACGTTTGTATCTGGAGCACAAAGAGAAATCACTATTACTCTTGATGTGTTTTACCCAGCTATTAAGTAATGTAAGGATAATATGGAGATCCCGGACAGACCGGAAAAACTAAGCAGACTAGGGTGTGCAGCGAGAATATACAACTGCGTCACGTGATAGCATACAACCATCGATGTACCTTAATCCCCGACCAGAAAGATGATTAACACAATAAACACAAAAAACATGCTTTAATCTACAGAATTAGCCTTAAAGGAATATGGTCTACTTGACTCTGAACAGGAATAAAACGCTTATCAAGGTAACTAACGTTGTTTACTTCATTGTTCCCTCACTACAGATTTCACCCGTACTGAATTCGCCAGGCCTACATTCACACGTATTGAAGAGCGATGACTTCTAATACGGTGGTGGGTTTCTGACCCATTAGGTCCGCCCCACCACCACTATTTTAGACCCATAAGCGTCATCTGTAAGCGAAACACATGAATTTGTACAGACGTACAGACGTCACTACTATTATCCCTTTGAGTTGGCCACCTACCCCAAACCCGATAATCTGTGCACACGCTGAAGAAGGAAGAACGTGAAGAGTCCCACCCTTTACAGCATACAGGAAATATAGGGTACTAGGGTACCGCTTTTAGTCTGCAGTGTTTAATGTCAGTTGCTCCCCTCAATGTGTGGGGTGAACAACCCTCACCCAAACAGAACGAGATAGAAACCGTAGGTGTTTACCCGATATGGGGCGAGATGGCTCAAGTGGTTAGAGCGCGAATTTAATGACTGCAGGAGCCCGATCCATGCCTCTCGACTTCCCTGTCTATGCTTGGGCAACCTGGCAGTATCCCAGCCCTCGTGTGGCATGGAAGCTAGGCACCGAAAGGGTGTTACAGCTGACTGGTTATTATCTTGGGTTACCCGATATCTGGCATTCCAATGACATGCAGTCAAGTTTATTATAATCCGAAAAAGTCGTGCTCTTAACATCAATAATGCACCTCGGTTTTGAGTGAAATCCGCTTTCAACCGGTACTGAACTGGCTCGAACAGGTTGGAAAGACAGATAAGGATGCCTCCTTCATTCACTGTCCGTTACAAAGTGAAACCCGATGGAGCGGCAAAATACGCACCGCTCAATTAGTCCGTTAAAGAAATAGTCACAAACTAATTGAATTAACACAAGTGTCCAGGAATTTGCCCTGTAAAACTGGTAGACAATGACAACAATACAAAATTTGGGCGATCAGAATGTCATAAACTAGCTGCACTATTATAATCTTCTCAACAAGACTTTTTTGTTTTCAGCGGACGGATTGGCATGTAAAAAAACTACACCAAAGCTTGTTTATATTTACCTAACCACACCAACTCTTTCCTAAAGAAAATCGATAAACGCACAAAAATTATACATTTCGCAACATGGACAACCCCTGAGTTACCTAGCTATCTACAACCCCAAACAGGTCACTGTACGGAAGTTGTACGGTCAAACTTTCTCCGTTTTGGGGTGCAAACTGGCTTGAAGAGCTGTCCCCAACTGATAAAACTGAGATAATAATAACGGAACACAGCTCATAATCCGGAGCGAAGAGAGTAAAGGAGAGCAAATGCATAAAAATTGGCCAGCAATACGGGAAAAAGTGTGGGGAAGAAACATCACCGCAAATAACATACTCTGAGGCAACTGTAATTTGAGCATTCAGGTCCATGATTTGCTTTTCGTACTCAGTCTTGGTAAGCTCCAAAACATCTGCCTGGCGTTTTAGTGCACTTTCAGCTATTTTCTCTCGGTCAGCGATTTCACGGTGCAGACGGTCTAGTTCGGTTTGCAAAGCTACATCCGGTCCGTGAATTGACGGAGCCACACTGGTCAGACCAACCATGTTTTCCTGATGTAAGGACATCCGCCTTGGCGATCCCACTTTGACATCCTGTCGTATTTTCAGAAAAGCGAGAAAGGATGGGCACGTTCGCGAAATCAAAACCTGGAAAAACCCAAACCAAGCACAAACATCTGCCCCTCCATGAGTGGATGAAAACAATTAGGAGGTGATGAACCGACAACTGAGAAGTGGTAGATGTGTGCTCAAACATGTACTAGTAGGCAAAGCACAGCCGAATTACGAACAGATAGAACTCAGTCACTTATAAACCAGCTTGAATAGGACAATATAGAGCAGAGGATTCAGTAACAAACAGCCAAGGCACTTGAATCACCATTGCACGGGCCACCCATCTTCCATCGCTTTTAAAAGATAATGTGGAATTCCATGGATGGGTGGTTCAGGTCTGATTTTCAACCTGGACGGTCGCTACGTTCGCCGCGTGCTCCAGCTATCGATAAGAAAAGACAGAACTTCAAAGGAGATGATTAATAAACTACACGCTATTGTTTAACCAATCAGACTTAGTCATAAACTGCTACAGCTTTACTTTACGACAACTGGAACGCCAAACAACGGTCTCCAAATATTCACTGGATCACTAATACCCGAAACCATTCGCAAACAATAACAAAAATCGAGGGGTGCTGTTTAGCACCCGCTATCATGTCACACGCTTTTCTAAAGCGCTTCATCTGGGCACACTTGCAAAGTTTGAATTTTTAGAAGCAATCCGCCCACATATCGCTGTCTACTAAAACCGATCACTCGAAACGGTAAATCTCATCAGTAGTCAGAAGTCGACAACGTTAAAAAACAGTAGATAACGAAAAGGGAAAAATACCTTAGTCTGGGGTTGAGCTCCACCCGGAGACCTCTCCGATTCTTCTTGTTCTATGCTTTCAGTTTGTGAGGAGGAGGCCGACTGTTGTACTGTTGTTTCGGTACTTTTCGAATCACGGCGTGATGTTTCCTGCCGTGCTAAAAGAGCAGCGAGTTCTTCACGAACGCGAGAGAGTTCAGCCTCAGTTTGTTCATTCGTCTCTCGAGCTAACATCAAGGCTTCTTCAAGTTCAAATATCTTAGACTCATCGTCTGCATTGAGGGATTCTAATGTGGACTTGGTTATCTTCTCCTCTTCCATGCGAAACTGTAAATCATCTACCTTCCTGCGAAAAAAACAAGCAAAAACATGTTAGGATAAGGCCAGTACATAAAGAGTAAGGTAAAACGGAAAATCGATAACCTTAGACACGCCATTGATACATCTTGTTATGCGGCTGGAAACACGAACGGAGACCAAGTCACCGTCATGTTGATCAAAACTTGACAGAAGTAATCGAGAAGTTAGGGTTGCAGCCTTGCGAACATCTTATGCATTGACCTCCGAGCCATCTTGAACCACATAAAAAGTAACAACTGAAGAGAAGGATCGGAATAAAATCATATACCTCCAAAACACCGCTCGGAATCGAATCAGGTTGAAGAGTGGCTGTGATTTAAACTCATAGAGGTGGTGTTTTAAAGCCATTATACCCGATATATTCTTAAGGGGAGAATGTATTTTTCCACTTTATGAAAGCAATTCAAGCTTCGATTAATCTCGAAATACCATTTTACTCTTTTATGAAGATCATGCTTTGGATCAATTTTAATTGGCCAATGATGCGAATTTGAATAGTAGGTTCCCGCCAGAGAGGTACAACTGTATTGTACCTCCATATTTTGTTCATGGATACGACGTAGTTGTGCTGAGAAGTAGCACTCTTCTAGCAAACTTGATCCCGTTTACCTTTCGGATCAAACTCGTTTGGAATTTCCGCTTTATTAGGGTATGCTATTCTGGGGCCAAATATGGCAACTACATGTGAGGACCAAAGGACGCTGATGGAGTGTCATCAGCACGCAAACACGGAAAAAATGCCAAATGATGGCGGCAGATACGTTTTCACCTATAGGCGATACAACATAAATAAACTTTCGTCCCCTCTTCCGGAACCATTTCGCTCAATTAAATGGCTTCCTCATTTATTGGAGATTTTGTCCTGTATGCGAAGACTTTCTATGCTGAATCGGTAAGAAGTACTGTACAACTGTCTCATCCTTATTGGGAATCATCAGCAGTGCGCATCTTACGAAACTCCAGAGTTTCGAACTAGCACCTTCCCGGCTAGTTGTTTGAACATTTAACCGTTCAGTCAAGAGCGGCTGGTCAGCAGTGTGATGAACCGGCACTTAGAGAGGATACAGGAGAGTATATATATATATAT